ACCCCTTACAGGCTTACAAGAGGAATGATTACAGCAAGCACAGCCTTTTCCTATGTTTAGATGGGAATGTGACGACTGATTAAAAGTGGATTTGTAACATGCATTGACAATATGAAATACTTTGGTGTTTTGTTATAAAAGGAAATTCAAATTTGTCTTGAAAAATGTGTCAAAGCTGCACCTTCACCTGTCTCTCATTGTAGTTACTGCAGTTATTTCTGACAACAACACCAGGCTGATGTCTGAAAACCAGCAGTTACGAGACTTAGAAAGAGACATCACCAACCTGACTGAGGCAAACTGGAACCTCACAATGCAAATCAAGGAACTGACTGCACAAATCCAGGAGCTGGAGAAGGACAAGAACAACCTAACAGAACAAATACAGAACATGGAGACGAGCTGGAATGAGCTCAACACCAGTCGAGCTCAGTGGACCATTGATGCCTACTGCCCAGTAAACAACGGAAGTATGTTCACATCCCAGTAGCTACAAATATACTAATAATGATGATAGCATTGTGCACTAATGTTATTTATTTATTGGTCTCTATTGTTGCAGATCGACAGTGTGAACCCTGTCAGCCTGGCTGGCTTGTGTTCCAATCAAACTGCTATGCAATTAATGACCCTAACACCGCTGATACGGTGAAAACCTGGGAAGAAGCTCAAGTAGACTGCAGAGGAAAGAATTCATATTTGGCTGTTGTTGTTACTGAAGCACAAAAGGTAATGAGGAGAGTTTGACTTTTATTTCTAACAGTATTCTTTGTAGACCTGAACACAGCCTGAGTCTGTTAGTTACAGTGTGTTTAGAGTAAAATATATCAGCATCTCTGATAACTTTGTCCATGTTTTTCTTAGAACGTTGTCGCTACATATAGTTGGCCCAAAGGGAACTTTAATCAATACTGGATTGGCCTGAGAGCTGAAGACAATAAATGGAAGTGGGTTGATGGAACTGATCTGACTAACAGGTAAGAGACACATTCAGTCATTTAAATCACAAAATCCATCACTGTCAATCTAACCAATTCTTTCCTTCAGCTCCTGGATTCAACAACCTCCTCCTGACGGTCTTTGTGCAGTTTCTGTCTTTAATGGAGGATGGAGGGCAGTGAGCTGTGATCAGAAGAACCGATGGATCTGCCAGAAGAAAGCTTTGTCTGTTTAAGTCAGCAGTCAGCTGGGTCATGATTGTCAAAACCATGAAGACTTCTATGTCACATTAATCAAGTCTCTTGTTTCATTTGATATGGAAATGTAGGAGTGTGTGTGTGAAAACCTGGTAGTTTGATCATGTGGGTGTTGTCAGTCTGCTCCACTGAGAAAAATACAGTAGCTTACCTATCAGGGCAAATGTTGTTCATCTGTAACTTTATATTATCATTTTATTTGCACTGCAATAGATGCACGCACAAGTTTGATATCAGCAGACTGATAAAAGGAACCAGCAAAACTCTTCAGCTTCTTGTTTCATGTAGCATTTTCCATTGCTGCTGCTGTTTGGCCAACAGAGGGCGCTGCTTTACTTCTACACAGCATATTCTCAGGGCTTCTGAATTATTCATGTATTATGTTGAGAATATGTTCAAGTGGAGCTGGCAGCTAATGTTATATATCTATCTAGAAGTGAACTTTGGGGTATTTTCAGTTGAAATGTTTCCACATGACTTTTTCTTGCAAACTGCTGGTTGAAAATGTCAGTAAGTTTGAATGAAATGAGGAGAACCTGCAGGATTCTGTGACGTGTTTAATGAAGACGAGGCGTCAGGAGAGCTGACCTCAGTGTGTTTGTTACATTTGAGCCTTTTGATTCAGTATTTTATTGGTGTTTTATTTTATTTTCAAAGGAGAACTCTAGAGGTTGGCGCTCAGAAAATGGGTGAACAGGACATTGTGCATCAGTTAAGGTTGTGGAAAGATGGGAGCCAGAGCAGCTGGGTAGTTGACAGTAGGAGGCAGAGCAGACGGATGATCATCGGACTGGGAGGAGTTTTGAAAACATTTCAATAATCTTTGCCTACATTCGCATTTTGGGACATGGCAGAGCTGTTCCCAATACAAAGCTTTTCCTTTCATTTTTAAACTCTGATCCTTTTTCTAGATGTCGAGTTTCTTTTGTATCTGGAGCAGCAGAAACTTGTCTTGAAACCCTCCTCGGTCTTTCCACCATAGTTGCTGTGACCTTCTCCGTCTCTCTCATGACGACTGCTCCTCTTCAGCTCTGGCAAACCAATCATTGCTGGTTAAAACGCATCTCTACTGTTGAACCAGTGTGGGACTGTTACCACAGACACCAGGTGTAAAACTCTGGTACACTGGGACATGCATGAGATTAGGTGCTGGTGCTGACGGGCCGAATCAGTCGTGTCTGTGGGCTTGGATGTAACTGCTGTTCATTTCAATGTAAAAGAAGTCCACATCAACTTTCAGTCAAAGCAGTAATACCGCACTGAAAACTGTCATCATGTACCTGAAGTATCAAAGTAAAGCACATGCTGGTAGAGTAGGTCCTGTCATTTCTACATTGTCATGTTACTGGATCATTATTGTTGATGAACAAACATGTAAACAGACAATAGATGTTGCTGCTTCACGACATGGAGAAAAGTGGAACGGTTTCCTGAACTTTTGGACGATCTCATCAAGCAACAACAGATCATGTTGTATGAAATGATGAGCCAATGTGTTTCATGTAAAATTTCATTTTCAAATGTCTCCACAGTGCTCACATAAATATCATGGACTGCTTTAAGGTGATTTTGTTCTTCTTACTCCACAGCAGCATTTGTTCCTCACAACCTCAGTGTTATTTCACAACGCATCGTGTAGAGGCAGGGATGTGTGTTGTCACTGTTCAGTAGGGGTCGTGGGTGTGTTTGGATGTGTGTGTGGGCGGAGCTGTTTGTCTGTGGGTGTGTGACTGTGGCTAAATGATTGCTTAACAGGTACCACCTGCACCTACCTGTGAACTTTGTTTGCTTGTTGCAGAGAGAGGGAGAGGTAGGGTGCCATATTTTCTATTGACCGCAAAAGCTGTCTCCTAACATAGCGTATAAGTTCATTAGTGCACATGTAATTTTTATTGAAATGGTGAAAATAAATAGCCTTAACTGCAGTAATGGCTTCATGTCTCTTCCATGGGGTTAGCGTGTCGGACAGAGCCCTTTTTTCTCCTCTCGGTGACTAATTTAGTCTTGATAGTCACGTTACACATTGTTTGACATAAAAACCTTTTCCTGTCCCTCAAAACAAGTTTGACAGTGCAGGTTATGTGATTGTCTGTTGTGCCTGTTTGAAGATACTGAAAAGCTGCAAGTACTTCTGTTCATTTTTATATTCTTAACATTCAGGAGAGTTAATTATGTTTTATTAAAATGACTTGTTCTAAAGAACAAGTGATGAGTGGAGCTGTGAGGAACTGAAATGATGCTCAGTAGTAATGATTGTTTTGTTTTGAAAATTGGACAAAGTGTTCTATGTGAGAATATTATTCAGCCTATACATGTTACACACCTGATGACAAAGACAATTTATTGATCCAGATGCTGAAACTAAATACCAGAATATAATTATTCTGTTTCCTGTAATTGCTTCTTAAGTAACAACACTCCTGTTAGTGTTAAAAGCTAGCACCAGATGACAAATATAATCTACCTGTTACCTTAATATGCTGCCTAAACAGCAGCACAACTGTTTCTTCTGCAGTTCATACCACTGCTGCTCTTTGTACAGCTGTGATCACTGATGATACTCAGACTGCTTTTCCATCTGACAGTCAAACCACTCAGGACATTTAATTCAGTTGCTGTTTTTCTTTATTCAACAAGGAGATATGAAATGAAGGAAATAAAATGAAATTGAAATATTAAACAATGCCATTTATTTTTCCATAACTTGTATGGAGCAACAACAGCACAGAGTTTTAAAACTCCAGGCAATCTGAAGAACAATAAATGAAAA